GGACATGGTTGTTTGATTTCACCTGAAAACGCCCTGCTGCGTACCGTTCTGCAAGTCAGAACGGGGCAAGGCAGTGGGAGTCAGCTTTTATGAATTTCCCATTACAAGGATCCGGGACGAGTGGATAAAGGCCGTCAGTCGCAAAGTAAATATTATTCAGTTTGAGTAGTTGACTAGACAACACTTATCTTCCAATAAAGTTAACATAAAACCAAGCTTAGAACTATCCTTGCTTTACAAAATTTGTTCTAAAAATTCATCAACAACTCAGTGCCATAAACCCTCGAGGTTTTAGGAAATTTCAACTTTCAAGTGAACTCAAGATCTGTGGCTATATATTTTGCCTAGGCTGAACGAAAATGTACATTAATTTGCATGTCGCCTCTTTTGAGGGTCTCTGATGAAAACACTCTCAGTTCAGGAAATTGTTATCAAAAGAATGAGGCGAGTAAGTCGTTCATCAACAATTTGCGGCCACGCGGAGAGCTCAGCATTCGTTCTGCTCCCGAACGCTACAGCTGAGCTGTGGCGCCATCTAGTAGAATGGAACTAAACTAGGTATGCCGCATCCGGGGACAGCGCTCCCCGTAGGCGCGCTCCGGGTCTGTTAGGAGTCTCTGATGAAAACACTCTCAGTTCAGGAAATTGTTATCAAAAGAATGAGGCGAGTAAGTCGGTCACCATCAATTTGCGGCCACGCGGAGAGCCCAGCATTCGTTCTGCTCCCGAACGCTACAGCTGAGCTGTGGCGCCATCTAGTAGAATGGAACGAAACTAGGTATGCCGTATCCGGGGACAGCGCTCCCCGTAGGCGCGCTCCGGGTCTGTTAGGAGTCTCTGATGAAAACACTCTCAGTTCAGGAAATTGTTATCAAAAGAATGAGGCGAGTAAGTCGGTCATTCTCAATTTGCGGCCACGCGGAGAGCCCAGCATTCGTTCTGCTCTCGAACGCTGCAGCTGAGCTGTGGCGCCATCTAGTAGAATGGAACGAAACTAGGTATGCCGTATCCGGGGACAGCGCTCCCCGTAGGCGCGCTCCGGGTCTATTAGAGGTCTCTGATGAAAACACTCTCAGTTCAGGAAATTGTTATCAAAAGAATGAGGCGAGTAAGTCGTTCATCAACAATTTGCGGCCACACGGAGAGCTCAGCATTCGTTCTGCTCCCGAACGCTACAGCTGAGCTGTGGCGGCATCTAGTAGAATGGAACGAAACTAAATATGCCGCATCCGGGGACAGTGATCCCCGTAGGCGCGCTCCGGGTCTGTTAGGGGTCTCTGATGAAAACACTCTCAGTTCAGGAAATTGTAATCAAAAGAATGAGGCGAGTAAGTCGTTCATCAAGAATTTGCGGCCACGCGGAGAGCTCAGGGAAGACGACGACGATTGGAATACGAAGCGCCCATTTTCTATCGCTCTTCTAACTAGTTCGATAATTTGCGCAAATCTTGGCGCAAAACAAGGCAGCCCCGGCAAGGGGCCGCAGCTTGGAACCCTGGACCGGCAAACTGAAGACTCATATGCCTATTCGCAGCGTCGAGGCAATGATCCCCCAGATTTTCCCGGAACCATAGTGAAAACACCAAGTGGCAAGCTCAGCGGTGCAAGGACTCGTGCCATGAGCCAGACGACGGCGAACCCTTATCCGACTCTGGTGAGTCATTCTCAAGGCAACAGCGGTCCACCAGCCGTTACAGGTCAGCTAATTTACCATCAGATGTCCCAACAAGACAGTCAGTTTTTAACGGACTGTACGAAACAACGTGAAACAATTGAAGAATTTATGAAGAACAAGGAGCTTTTAGTACAGGTGCTCACGCAAAAGGATTCGTTTCAGGAGTACTCAAATCATAAGAAAGAGTTCGAAGAGTTTCTTTTGAACCGCAACCTGCCTTCCACTGTGCGGCAGAAGCAGACGGAGGCAGGTAAACAAGAAACAAATACAGCATGTACAAACGACGCGAGCCAGAAAGATGACAACGAAGAATGGCCACTACTTCTATCGCATTCATGCAAACAGAGCACCTTGCCTACAACACAGAGAGAAGCCCTTGCAGATACAAGGAAGTCCCCAACTCAGACAGTGGTGCTGAAACCTACCTGCAAGGAGAAGGTTCACACCTTCACCGGACGAGTCATCTACCGGACGATGGAGAAAGCCGGCATCCAGAACACGGACGGTTTCACAGTGCACCTCAACGAGAAGTCGAATACTATCGCAATCACCACCAGAAACCCTCGGCTCACGAGCAAGCTACTCAACATTGGAGCGGTAGAAAAAGCGGAGAAAAAGTATGAGATGAAACCGTACATGGCCATCTCCAGTAACCAAGTGAGGGGAGTTATATACCTGCATGGCGAAAATCTGAATGAAACACCAGAATCACTGATGGAGGGATTAGACTGTCCCACAAACAACATTGTGACAGCTAGGATCATAGGATGATCCGGAAAGACGGTACTGATCACTTTCGAAGGTGAGAAAATTCCGAAGCATGTGCGTTTCCTATGTGAAGTGTTCAATGTAATGGAGTACAGACCCAGACCGGTAGTATGCTACTCATGCCACCGCATTGGTCATAAGTCCGATGTGTGCCCCCACGGCACAAAAAGATGCGGCAACTGTGGACACATTCATGGAGACGCAGAAGGCTGCGAATTGCTGCCGAAATGTTTCAACTGCGGGGGCCCGCACGTTGCAACTAGCAACAATTGCCCCAAAAGACAGATACCGGTTAGGCGTCCACAGCCAAGAAAATTACTAACGCCAAGGCCCTTTTTGAACGGCCCTCCGCCACCACCGAGAGCATCGAACCGTGGAACTGAAGACAGTGCCAAGCCTCAAACAGGCGTCTGGGCTGCTCCCCTCAGGCTAGGACTAAACAGGCAAACACCCGATCCGGCGTCAATTGAGACAACTCTATATCACGACGAATCGACTGCGATGGCGACACAAATGCTACAGAACAGCAGCGTCACGCAGAAAATGGCGTCACTGGATCAAAGAGTAAGAAAAATGGAAAATACACTGGACTGCATTCTGCAGGCCCTCCATGCTATGAACCGACCAAGAAATACATAGGACCCGTACGCAAAGTTCTAAAAGTAAAAAGACTCCATGGGTCTTACAGTGGAATTGCCGAACCTTCCGACAAAAGCAAGCAGAATTCAAGGAAAGACTGAACAAAATGGGTGACAACAAACCGCTTATCATCCTGCTGCAAGAAACAAAAACCGACTCGATCAAAATTAGGGGTTACAACACCTATACGCAAACCACCGCCAACACCGACCATGATGCACCAGAGAACCCCATGCCTACAGTAACAACGCTGATAAGTAAGGACATCTCCCAGGCACAACTCATGACGCAACATCTCTGCAACAACACGCAGGAAGTTGTGGGTGTCAAAGTACGAATAGGGGGTAAGGAATGTAGAATCTTTAATACCTATATCAGACCGCACAGACGGGAAGGAAATGACATGTCATGGTTAGATGACGTGAAACACGGCAATATTCCTACGCTGGTGGCCGGCGATTTCAACGCCCAACACACAACATGGGGATATAAGCGAGAAAACCAACGCGGGAAAAGCCTCAACAGCAAGTGTAAACAGCTAGGGCTTCTTCTCAGGAATGAGCCGGATTCACCAACCAGACTAGGACTCAACCCCAGGGAAGCGGATACAACACCGGACTTAACATGGAAAACCAGGAACCTAAGGGTGACCTGGAACACAAAGCGGACCCCATGGGAAGCGACCACCTTCCAATCCGTATCAAATTGCACATCAGCGTGGGTGCGAGAAAGAAGGTCCACTTCATTAGATGGGATAGGTTTCGAATACTGCTAGGAGAGAGCAGCAGAGAAGACCTAACACGCAGAATACAGTTGGCCATGGCCGGCGCAAAAGAAGGGTACCGAATACGAGAGACGCACCCGCGCCAGACCTGCATTTACTTAACCTATGGGCCAGTCGCCTTCAAGCCTTACAACGGTACAGGAAAAAGAAACGAGACGAAAAACTCAAAATCAAGCTCAATCTTGCTACGGCTGGAGCAAAAAGGTACACACTGGAGCTTAGTCGGCTAAAATGGCAAACGCACTGTGGATCCTTCAACGAAAAGACGGGGCTAGGAAAAGCATGGCGCACGTACAAAGGGATGTGCGGGAAGACTAAAAGCAAAAGGGATGGGAGCCAACCTGGCTCTCAAACTTGGAATATCAGAAGCTGAGTTAGCAATTCAAGCTGGAAACAGCTTCTTCCCGCAGCCCACCACTTCCCCCCCAAGCACCTGCTACGAAAGATCGCAAACGGACGACCAAGCACCAGAAGACGCTCCTTTTAACAAAGGGGAACTGCTGGCGGCCATAGCCACAGCCAAATGCAACACAGCACCGGGACCCGACCATGTAACTATTGCTGCTATAAATAACCTCCCAGAAAAAGAACAGGAGGAACTTTTGGAATGGTACAATCAATTTTGGGAACAAGGCACCCTACCCAGAGAGTGGAAACACTCCACAGTAATTCCGATACCCAAACCCGGCAAGCCAGCCAACGATATCGGAAACCTAAGACCGATTTCTCTCACCTCTAACCTGTGTAAAATAATGGAGAGAATGGTTTTAGCCCGTATTACGTGGCTCCTGGAAACACAAAGTAGACTGCACCCTATGCAAACAGGATTTAGGCAAGGCCTCTCAACGCAGGACAGCTTGGCCATGATACACCGAGACATAACATCTACTCCCCCAAAAGGACAACCCCGTACCATCGTGGCAATTGACATTAAAAAAGCATTTGACTCCATACCGCATGAAACGGTCATAAAAGCGGCCGAAAAAAGGGGCATCCGAGGCAGACTGCTGAATTTTATAGTCCTTGTTGCAGGACAGGACTTACAGTGTTCACATGGGCAGCACCAATGGACCGATCTCAAATAATGCGATTGGAGTACCCCAGGGTGCCGTTATCTCCCCCACGTTGTTCAACATGGCCATGACGAACCTCGCTCTAGCACTGGAGAAAAATGCGGCAGAAGTAAATTTCACAATCTATGCTGACGATATTTCTATCTGGACGGCAACAGGGGAAGCTAAAACACAAGAGGAACTCTTGCAAAAAGGACTTGACATCACAGTTGGGTTCCTTAAGGAAACCGGGATGAAGATCTCGGTTGAAAAGACAAACTATTTGGTTGTTGCAAGCAAAAAAGCCAGGCAGCAGAACATCGGTGACACCATCTGCCTCCAGATTGAAGGAACGAGTGTCGAGGGAAAGCCCAGCATAAAAATTCTTGGACTAACCTTTGATGAAACCGGAGGCGCTCATAACTGGGTAAAACAAACGCAATCTCATTGGAAACAGGGACTCAGTTTTATAAAGAGAACGACTAACAAGGCGTGGGGAGCAAACGAGAGTGCCTTGAAGAATATGATACGAGCACTGCTCATTACCAGAGTCATGTACGGGTTCAATTTTCTGCGGCTAAGAAAAACCCAGATAAGAAAGCTGGAGATACTTAACCATTCAGCCATGAGAGTGGTTACTGGGCTGCCCAAGTACACCAGACTTACGGATTTAAGAAGCGCCGCTCAGATGAACTCCCTCGAGGATATTGCAAAAGAAAGCGAGGAGAAGTCAACTCGACAGACTCGAAAGATCACCCGCCGGCCTTATCATCCTCCAAATGCTCGGAAAGACACCACAACAAAGCCTCCACATCGCATCACCGAACCCTCCCTGGGAGGATGAGGCGGTGGTGGACCTGAAACCCACACCGAAGAATCAAAACAGGACCCAACCAAAACGCAGGGAAAGCAATGCAAAACGCCACAGGAAAGAAGTGGAGGCAATTCTTAAAATGGGAACGGCGGAAGTAATTTACACTGACGCCGCGAGGAACGAGGACGGAACCACGGCCATAGCAATGCACTCAGCGGGCACCGGCGAATCAAAAAGCAAATACCTGCTCAATAGCAGCAGCACAAAAACTGCTGAACTATTGGCTGTACACTGGGCTCTTAAAGAGCAGGTTCAGTACAATCCGGCCGCACACATGTACGTCTACACAGACTCCAGCGAAGCAGTCAAGGCGTGCAGAAGGACAGATTGTAGGAATAAGATTGCGAAAGACATCAAACATACAGCTAAGATCCTTCGCCTAAATGGAGGCAGTTTGCACATCGCATGGATCCCAGGACACCAGGGAATCCCGGGAAACGAGGAGGCCCACGAGACCGCGCGGATTGAGCTACAAGCATCCCACGCCGCATCAGGTCACGAGGGCTCCCCCGTCACAACCCAACCAGAAGATCTGGACCTCGATGAACTGAAAGAGGCAAGTAGAACAGCTCGGAAACAACGACTGGCATCGCTGCTGCCAGAAGAGGCTTACCCTCTTCCATCCAATTACTCAAGGTGGGGGAAGGTATGCATTCGACGCATCGCCACCAACACAGCCCTAACACCTGGGCTGAGAAGGAAATTTTATAGTTCACGCGACGAAGACGACCCTGGTCCCGACTTCAACTGCAAGACTTGCAAAACCCCGGCTACTTGTAAACATCTAATATGGGACTGCGAAGCAAACAAACAGCTAAGACAAGACGCACTCCTCAGCATTCCGGAAAACGCACGACCTGAAACATACGAAGAGTGGGTAACCCCCCTGAAAGAAAACGCAAACAGGATTAAGATCCTGGACTCTTTACTCACATACCTTAAGGCACTGAACTTCACACACCTCATCTAACCCCCCTTTCCTCCTCACACCCTTCATCTCTTCCTAATCATCCCGTCACACCAGATGACTTCAGTCAAGAGGTGTGGCGGACCCCAATCATTGTTAATAAACGTTTTCTGATCTGATCTGGAGAGCTCAGCATTCGTTCTGCTCCCGAACGCTACAGCTGAGCTGTGGCGCCATCTAGTAGAATGGAACGAAACTAGGTATGCCGCATCCGGGGACAGCGCTCCCCGTAGGCGCGCTCCGGGTCTGTTAGGAGTCTCTGATGAAAACACTCTCAGTTCAGGAAATTGTTATCAAAAGAATGAGGCGAGTAAGTCGTTCATCAACAATTTGCGGCCACGCGGAGAGCTCAGCATTCGTTCTGCTCCCGAACGCTAGAGCTGAGCTGTGGCGCCATCTAGTAGAATGGAACGAAACTAGGTATGGCGCATCCGGGGACAGCGCTCCCCGAAGCGCAATCCGGGTCTGTTAGGAGTCTCTGATGAAAACACTCTCAGTTCAGGAAACTGTCCTCAAAAGAATGAGGCGAGTAAGTCGTTCATCAACAATTTGCGGCCACGCGGAGAGCTCAGCATTCCTTCTGCTCCCGAACGCTACAGCTGAGCTGTGGCGCCATCTAGTTGAATGGAACGAAACTAGGTATGCCGCATCCGGGGACAGCGCTCCCGGTAGGCGCGCTTCGGGTCTGTTAGGGGTCTCTGATGAAAACACTCTCAGTTCAGGAAATTGTTATCAAAAGAATGAGGCGAGTAAGTCGTTCATCAACAATTTGCGGCCACGCGGAGAGCTCAGCATTCGTTCTGCTCCCGAACGCTACAGCTGAGCTGTGGCGCCTTCTAGTCGAATGGAACGAAACTAGGTAGGCCGCATCTGGGGACAGCGCTCCCCGTAGGCGCGCCCCGGGTCTGTTAGGGGTCTCTGATGAAGACACTCTCAGTTCAGGAAATTGTTATCAAAAGAATGAGGCGAGTAAGTCGTTCATCACCAATTTGCAGCCACGCGGAGAGCTCAGCATTCGTTCGGCTCCCGAACGCTACAGCTGAGCTGTGGCGCCATCTAGTAGAATGGCACGAAACTAGGTATGCCGCATCCGGGGACAGCGCTCCCCGTAGGCGCGCCCCGGGTCTGTTAGGGGTCTCTGATGAAAACACTCTCAGTTCAGGAAATTGTTATCAAAAGAATGAGGCGAGTAAGTCGTTCATCAACAATTTGCGGCCACGCGGAGAGCTCAGCATTCGTTCTGCTCCCGAACGCTAGAGCTGAGCTGTGGCGCCATCTAGTAGAATGGAACGAAACTAGGTATGCCGCATCCGGGGACAGCGCTCCCCGTAGGCGCAATCCGGGTCTGTTAGGAGTCTCTGATGAAAACACTCTCAGTTCAGGAAACTGTCATCAAAAGAATGAGGCAAGTAAGTCGTTCATCAACAATTTGCGGCCACGCAGAGAGCTCAGCATTCCTTCTGCTCCCGAACGCTACAGCTGAGCTGTGGCGCCATCTAGTTGAATGGAACGAAACTAGGTATGCCGCATCCGGGGACAGCGCTCCCGGTAGGCGCGCTCCGGGTCTGTTAGGGGTCTCTGATGAAAACACTCTCAGTTCAGGAAATTGTTATCAAAAGAATGAGGCGAGTAAGTCGTTCATCAACAATTTGCGGCCACGCGGAGAGCTCAGCATTCGTTCTGCTCCCGAACGCTACAGCTGAGCTGTGGCGCCTTCTAGTCGAATGGAACGAAACTAGGTAGGCCGCATCTGGGGACAGCGCTCCCCGTAGGCGCGCCCCGGGTCTGTTAGGGGTCTCTGATGAAGACACTCTCAGTTCAGGAAATTGTTATCAAAAGAATGAGGCGAGTAAGTCGTTCATCAACAATTTGCAGCCACGCGGAGAGCTCAGCATTCGTTCGGCTCCCGAACGCTACAGCTGAGCTGTGGCGCCATCTAGTAGAATGGCACGAAACTAGGTATGCCGCATCCGGGGACAGCGCTCCCCGTAGGCGCGCTCCGGGTCTGTTAGGGGTCTCTGATGAAAACACTCTCAGTTCAGGAAATTGTTATCAAAAGAATGAGGCGAGTAAGTCGTTCATCAACAATTTGCGGCCACGCGGAGAGCTCAGCATTCGTTCTGCTCCCGAACGCTAGAGCTGAGCTGTGGCGCCATCTAGTAGAATGGAACGAAACTAGGTATGCCGCATCCGGGGACAGCGCTCCCCGTAGGCGCAATCCGGGTCTGTTAGGAGTCTCTGATGAAAACACTCTGAGTTCAGGAAACTGTCATCAAAAGAATGAGGCGAGTAAGTCGTTCATCAACAATTTGCGGCCACGCGGAGAGCTCAGCATTCCTTCTGCTCCCGAACGCTACAGCTGAGCTGTGGCGCCTTCTAGTCGAATGGAACGAAACTAGGTAGGCCGCATCCGGGGACAGCGCTCCCGGTAGGCGCGCTCCGGGTCTGTTAGGGGTCTCTGATGAAAACACTCTCAGTTCAGGAAATTGTTATCAAAAGAATGAGGCGAGTAAGTCGTTCATCAACAATTTGCGGCCACGCGGAGAGCTCAGCATTCGTTCTGCTCCCGAACGCTACAGCTGAGCTGTGGCGCCTTCTAGTCGAATGGAACGAAACTAGGTAGGCCGCATCTGGGGACAGCGCTCCCCGTAGGCGCGCTCCGGGTCTGTTAGGGGTCTCTGATGAAAACAATCTCAGTTCAGGAAATTGTTATCAAAAGAATGAGGCGAGTAAGTCGTTCATCAACAATTTGCGGCCACGCGGAGAGCTCAGCATTCGTTCTGCTCCCGATTGATTGATTGAAACGTTTTTATTAGCAGAAAATGAAATAACCGCCGTGCCGCTTGAAGTGTATTCATCTGGAACGGTGGCTTAGGGAGGGAAGATAGGACCAAAGAGGATAGAGAGAAAGGTTAAGGAAGGAAAGGTAATTATATGTACAGGGGAAGGTTTGCTGTGCGCACAAAGGCAAGCAGCGAGTCGAGAATCTGTTTTCGGTGATCGGGGGGCTTTGTGGAGTGTGGGCATGTCCATTCCGCGTAACTTGTGGGGCGATAGCTCGCCGGGATTAGATTGAGGTGTTTAGCCCTGTGCATGGAGTGCTTGGGACAGTCCCATATAATGTGAGGGCACTTCGCCGGCACTTTGCACTGGGGGCAGAGTGGGCTAGGGCCAACATCATCCTCGGAAATAGGGCGGTGAAATCTGGCCCTCCACACTGGTGTCAGTGCCGTTTGTGTATGAAGCTTACGGAGGCAAATCCTCTCCCATCTAGTGTATCCAGACGGGAGGGGACATTCCTCCTGAGGAAGGAGAGCAGCAAGTAGCGCCTTTCTGCCGAGACGAGCGGCCTCCCTGCGCTCCAGTGGGTCCATGGGAACCTGGGCGGAATTGGGATCGGAGGGGCGGACACAGCCTTGTGAGGGTTCAAAAGTAAGTAATAAATCCCTCGCGGCTGTGTTCGCCTTCTCGTTACCCGGTATGTCGGCGTGGCGGGGTATCCAGGTTATTGTTATGTGGCCCCCATTGGAGCGGAATAATTTACATACGGATCGGAGCTCCCGGCCGGTTCCATTGCTGCTGGTCAGGCAGGTGCACTCTCGCACTGCCTCATGTGAGTCCGTGAATATGTACATACGCCTACCGTGGTGATGTGAGTGTGACTGAATGGCCCACAGAATTGCTTGGAGCTCTGCAGTCTTGGAACTTGGTGTGTACGGTGCAATTTTGCTGCATGTTTGCCGGGTGGTGTGTGAGTAATACGCAACAGTGGTTTCTCCATCATCCGCTCGGGCAGCATCAGTGTAAATTAGTAAATTTTGTTTTTCCGCTTCCAGTATGGTAAGGGCTTTGATGTGCCGAGTTGCAGCCGCCCGCTTGCGATTGGCAGGACGCGGGCCGTGTGACTGTGGGAGTGGTTTTAGGTTTACAAGTAGCGTGTCCTCCCACGGAGGGTTAGGAGGCGCGTTGCTGGGGACCTGGAATACGGGATCTCCCAGCTGAC